TAGACAATGCATCCTACAACACAAGTTCCCTGTTGGAGACCCAACTAGTACAGTTGGCACCCTTTGAAAGAGGGAAATTATTTATTCACAGTACTGATAAGACCCTTCAGCTGTGTCCTCCTCTGTTGCCTTGTCCTTCTAGTAATCCCAGACACACTGTCTGCTACCATGAAACCACAGGATCTCACCCAAGATGAAGGAAATTCATTAGAATTCATCTGTGAAGTGTCAACAGCAGCAGCCCAACACACCCACCTTTCTATTGCCTGGTACCTTGTTCAAGGAGATGGAGAAGATCAGGAAATCCTTTCCCTGTCCAGAGATTTTGTCTTGATTGCAGGATCTTCCTACAATCAGAGGGTTTCCTCTGGAGACATAAGGCTAGACAAAACTGGGAACAAAAAGTATAAATTGTCCATCGTTAAGATACTGCCTTCGGACCAGGGGGAAATTTATTGTGAAGCAGTTGAGTGGATTCAAGATCCTGATGAAACTTGGAAAGATATTGCCCGGAAACGGACAAACAAGACTTCTCTGACTGTCAGGAGCCTTGGTAAGATGCATGTGATCCATCAGTCATATATACTGCCATTTTAAAAGACCTTAGCAGCTGCTTAATCATCCACAGTTACCTTGATTTTCTATTTCACTTGGAATATTTTATACAGTTTTGACAAGCTTAGTCAATTTAAAATGTGAGTAAATTCATTTATAGATCAAGACCTCTCTAGACTTAGCTGCAGTGGTATAAAGTACCCTCATGAGTAAATGAGTCATTTGCTAGGTCATTAACTTCCCCTCTACATAATCACCCATTCTCTGAAAAGGCATTAAAACTAGTGAAGATTCTGATCTTTTCAAGGCCCTGTAAGAACAGATTTCACAAGAACAAAAACAGAAAAGCCATCTGTATGAGCAAGAAGAAAGGGATTGTCTTCTCTGCCAAATGCAGGTGTACTAAAACTCAATGCATGAAGGGCCCTCCTTCCATTACTGTCCATGATGTCTGGTTCTGTTTTGCTGGGGTGCTTGTTTGGATCATGAAAGCAGATAGCATTTCATACAAGAGGGTGGGCAGAGACGCCGCTCCCCCCCCCCAACCCAATTGCTGCCAAAACAGTGTATGGGCCCTTCTGTAGTACAGCTGTGCATTGCAGGGGGATGGACGAGAACTACCAACATAGCAGTGACAATGTCTGAGTTGGAATCTAGATCTAGCACAATGATATGCCCCACTTCTTCTGCCAAATCCTTTCCACCATTGCCTCACTAAAGTGGCTAACATGTAAGAACAGGACGTTAGGTCACTCCAGCACCTAATTTTAGCTGTTTCATGGATTAAATTCATGCTTTTTTCTATCACTTATTAAAGGTCTCAGTGTATTTTGTTTCTCTTCTTCAATGAGCCCCAGTTTGCTAAATTATCTAGTGAGCTCTGCTGCAGTGATTGGCACTGCAATAACACTGAGGAAGGAGAAACAGCACTCCCTCAAGGGAGCTGCAGCCTAAATTAAGTAGCACCATTTAGAAAGCTTTACACATGTCTCCTCAAAAGGAGAAGAGGCTTTTAAATCCACTCCTAGACTGAAACTGCTGGTGTGAAAGTTGCACATTCTTCATACAACGTGATTGGCAAATATTTGTGAATGGCCAATGTCTGTTCAGGATGAATTATTAATGAACCAGCATTCAGTGCCTTGGATAATTTATGCACAGTAAACCATTAGACTAGCTGTAGCCACGATTAGCTGCTGTGGCTTTAAATGGTGTACACAGAGGTCTATGAAATTTCTTGAGTATCTGAGAGGCACACTCCAGCCAGCCAGAGGAACTGGCTGGCCACTGTGTGAAACCGAATGGTGGACTAGAAGGACCCTCACTGGTCTGATCCAGCAGGGCTCTTCTTATGTTTCTTCTAAAATATTGGAGTGTCACCAAAGTGAAGAAAAGCTTCAAAAATCTGTTCTTATCTGCACTGATCCTTTTGTTCCTGACTGGGAGGGGCAGGCAGAGCAGTTGTGATTTACAAAAGTTATTTCAACAGGGCTCAGACATAATGCTGAACCTTGATCTGGTGTTTGGTGGCTGAGGTCTGTTCTCTTTCATTCCCCTCTACCCTTCCCTCTAGCTGCCCTGAACCAGCCTTGGCTGGGAGGGCGGGGTAGAAATCTAATAAGTAAAATAAAATAAAACTCTGCAAATCAAATAGCCAGTTTCCACTTTAACACAAAACATAATTTGCCCTGAATCCAACCTGGAAAGTGTAAGGTATTTGGCCTTCAGGACTGTAAACCAAAGTTTCTACCCAGTTTGCAATCCCAGCTGGAAAGGAAAGTACAACACATACTTTGGTTTTCAAAATGTAAGTGCAAACTACACTTGGCACTGAATTGGAACATGTTCAGGTAGAGATGAAGGGGAAATTAACTGAAAACAAGCTTTGTTCACTTAGCACAAAATCATAAATCTGGCTAAGCCCAGTGTAAATTCTCCCCCCTCATCAGCAGGTTTTATATGAATTCATATGAGATTCATTCATCTGTCTATTCATTTTTCTCAAGATAATTAACAGAATCCATTCATTCTTTCCCTTCTCTCACTTTATCACCCTGCATTAATCAAAAGAATTTTTTTTAAAAGTGAAATCTTTCAGCTGATACATCATTGATTCTCAGAATTCCTGAATTGTCCCTCCCTCCAAGATATCCTACCAGCAAGGGAGAAAAAGTATTCTGGGAGTCTTTTAGACTCTCCTCGCTGAGCAAATGCAGGATTGAGATTAGAGAAACTGTGCAGAATCAGCCTAAAGATGCTTGATTGTGAAAGAGGTTTTGAGTGGGCAGCCAAGAGATCATGGCACACCTGGAAAAGAACTTAATAACTTAAACATAATTTTAAACTTTGCAATCCTGCACGTATCTCTCATAGCACCTTGTAGCCTTCACCCTCAGCCCGCATAGCTAAATACTCAAGGAGGTTGCCGAATGTAGGGTTAGAAGGGATAAAACGAAGTAATTCTTCAACCAAGGAGTGATTAACACATGGAATTCACTGCCACAGGAGGTGGTGGTGGCTACAGGCATGGATGGCTTCAAGAGGGAATTGGATAATCATATGGAGCAGAGGTCCATCAGTAGCTATTAGCCAGAAGGTATAGATAGGAACTCTCAGTCTGGGGCAAGTGATGCTCTGTATTGTTGGTGCTTGGGGGGGGGGGGCTTCTCTTATGTTCTTATGACTGAATATATTGCTCACAAGCACCGGGGCAACCGAAAGAACAAGAGTGGATGGGCATTAAGTCAGCCTTCCGTCTCCTCCCTGGCCACCCAGCTGATTTCGAACTGTTGGGCTTTGCTTTCGAGGGCAAGTTTACATGGATAGGGCCCTTTCCTGTGCTGATTTCAGGAGGCTCAGCTCCTTTTTGGAATGGGCCTCATATTACAGGACAAGATTACGCAGCACTGCCCACTATCTTGATGACTTCCTGTGGGCAAGAAGGAAAGATAGGGGCCATGTAGATTTTACTGAGCTAGGAGTTCCCCTTGCTTATGAGAAAGCTGAAGGCCCCCGGCTAGGCATTTGTTAGGAAACAGTAGGGGTTCTGAGTTTGTGATCTGCGAAGTATAAGCCCTGGTAGTGTCATAACCACTGGGTCCCTATGGCCAAGCCTAGTGTTCTGACTCTGTACCAGGTGACCAGATGTTGCCACTATCGGGCGGAATCAGAGCCTGGCCTTTTCTAGCAGAGCCAGCTCCGCCCCCGCAGCCCACGACACAATGCCGTGCATCATGGGCTCTGTTGCTGCACTGGGTTCCTCCGGGGGGGGGGGCAAAACAGCCCCCGGACCTCCAGCAGCTTTGCCAGGAGGCCAGGAGCTCCATTGTCCTTGACTCAGAAGGAAAAAGCCTATTGAAAGAGCATGGCCCCAAACAGGCTCCTAAACTGCTTCCCAATGACCCCCCTGAGTTTTCTTTATGCCTCCTATCAGGGCCAGCAACTGCTCTTCTTCCATCACTCCTTTGGGGGCTCAGTTTCCCCCAGTTTGGGGAACTGGCCTAGATTATGGATGCACCTGCACGGATGGCACATTTTGAGATTATTTCCTTTTCCTGTGAAAATCATCCCACCGCAGAGATGGGAAAGGTGGGGGCAGTAGTGTTAACAGCACAAGTGTCCCCTTTCTCTATATTCCCCTGGCATGTTCTGGCTTTGCACCTTAGTACCTCGCCTCCAGACAGTAATGCTACACCCATTCTGCAATTACTCCATTGGCTGCCTATTCACTAGCAGGTTCAATTCAACATAGTGACTGTCACAAACAAAGCCATTCATGGCCTTGGACCCTCCTATCTCTAGGAGCTTCTCCTCCTATGCCACAACGTCACCCATCTGAACAGGGCCTTCAGCAAGTGTCACCCAGCAAACAGGCAAGATGAAGAACTGCCTGTGTATGCGCATTCTCTGTAGTCCCCCGCCCGCCCGTCTCTCCCCCCCCCTGCCCATGGAATGGACTGCCCGAGGAGGTCAGGAAGGCTCCCGTGCTTCTGTAACTCCACAAACTATGTAAAGCAGAACAGTTCAGAGGGAACAGTTTTATAAAGGAAATGGGGCTGCATTATGACTAAATGATTCATGAAGATGCTTCAGTAAAGGAAATGGGACTGTGGACTATACTGCTAATATGGATTATCTGTAGTTGTATGTTTTTATCTTGCTATCACTGCATTATATTTCTACTTATGTAATACCATTTCTTGTATTGTTTAGCATGCCATGTTTAATTCCTATACCTTCTTTCAGATTTTTTGCAATCCCATTGGTATTACATTGTTTGTTAGATATCTTGCCCTACGGGTTACACTGATTTATATTATGTAATCTTCTGCGACCCTCAGTGAGAAAGGTGGACTATAAATAACATAAATAAATATCAGTTGCTGTTTTAGCATCACGAGCATTTACATGTCCATATGAAGCTGCCTTATACTGAGTCAGATCCTTGGTCTATTAAGATCAGTATTGTCTGCTCTGACTGGGGGTAGCTCTCCAGAAACTCTTCCCATCGCCTGTTACCTGATCCTTTTAAGTGGCGATGCCGGGGACTGGAACTGGGATCTTCTGTGCACAAAGCAGATGTCCTACCATTCAGCCACAGTCCAACCCCAATTTCTTTCTTCAAGTCAGACTTCATCCTAGAAACAGAAACATCATCTCATAGCCAATAATATTTCTTTATGTAATAATGTCACAGCAATCAGATTATTAAATTCAGATAGATGCTTGGAGATTTCATGCAGCCAAATCTGATTGGCTATGTGATGATACAGGAAGAAGAGCAATTTGAAAAAAGACACCAGAGCAGCACTTGACTGGGGCTGCAAGCAAACGTTTCTACCCTACTGCAACTCCCCCTCCCCCGCCATTAACTAACACAACCACACACGCACACACTCTGCAATGGCAAACACTTTCTAGAGGCCTACGCTCAATAATCATTCCAGTAAAGCTACAAGCTATATGTGTTTCTTTATTTGTATTCTCACAGATGACAATATCTTTGTTAAGATCACTGTTGCTAAAAGCTCTGTTCTGGAAGGGGAGGTCCTGCAGATCAATTGCTCTGTGCAAGCCCAGAATATCCAAAACAGATGGTTCCAGTTGGTGTGGCTTCATCGTGATAGGGTGGTGGCTAGCATTGATCAACATGGGGCCTTGGCCTTTCAGGAGGACAATGGGGACAGGTACACCACAGGGAATCTCCTAGTGAAGAAACAGAGCAATGAGAAGTATATCCTCAGGATAAACCAGGCGGAACTGAAGGACAAAGGCACATACCGCTGTGAGGTTTCTGAAATGGAGACATCTTCCACAGGCTCCCTTGCTGTTAAGAAAAAAAGGTCATCTTCGGGTACTGACATAAATGTGTCATCTAGAGGTCAGTAATGCCATTTTTTGTCCCTTTAAATATAATATGGGAAAAGGCCCAAATGTACTTCACTGATACTCATTAACTTCTTTGGGCAAGCTCAGTTATAGAGCAGTTAGATGGCAGCATTCTACAATGTTTAACAAGTATCATCAAGAGTTTTTAATCACTTTGATCACAATTATTTCCACAAATTCTGAGAGAAACAAACTGGACAAAGTTAGACACATTTAAAGTATTCTGGCTATAGCTGCCACTGCCTCCTTATTGCTTCAGGAGCAGAGAAGCCTTTATCCTTCTGCCGCTATCCTTCACCCCCCCACACACCACACACACACTCTCCAAGCCTGCTCTGCTTTGCTTCCAGTATATCTACGCAAGGTCATTCTGACATCTGTTTAGAACATAAAGAGACCCAGATAATGGAATAGCTCTGGAAAACATACTGAACCTAAAAGCCTGTCCTAAGCAGTAAGATGATTGGCAGAAATCAGAAATATCAAGCATGCAAATGCCAATCAGGATGAACCTGTTCCCAATATCCCTATCATACACACATCACCTACTGCTCAGTTGCTCTTCTCCCTCAGTGGCCCACATTGTCCAGCTGCTTGGGAAAATGAAACCAAACTGTGCAGTTCCAAAATAACCATCAAAATGGAAGGCTTCCACATGCTTGGAAATGTTGGGAATATTTTTGTTTCAGTTTGAAGCATTTCTTGTACTTTCAAATGGGTATGAATCAAATCTGATCAATTGAGTCCATTATGGGAAAGGAATAGCTTGATGATATCACCACAAGCCGCCTCTTAGGTCTTAGATAGTTTAATCTGATGATTATGTGCATTTCATTCCATGTTGTCTTGGTCATCCCCATTGCCTCTTAAGGATTCCACTGCCTCTGTTATTCACATACTTTTCTCTCTGAAACCCCATATACTTCTTTGTGACCTTAATTTTCTGTCCTACTTTATTGTATGTCTGCCTCTCTCTGCAAAGGATGGGTTTTAAAAAGAAATATTCTGGCAACCTGCTGTTGAAAGTTTGCATGACATAACTATGCAGAAATGTGTGTAATTCAGTAATAGAACATTTCTTTAGAAGGAAAGAGAAGGTACTTTCCCATTACCTTCAAACTCAGGTACATCCGCATTTGCAGGTATTGTTTATTTACTTCTGTCAAACGATCAAAAATTGTTTTTGATAGACCAGCATAATAAAACATATATAAGCAGATATTATAATAAATGTAATAATATAATAAAACAAATATAAGCAGTGGGTGTGTATATATGCGTATGTATATATAAACACACACAGAGAATATTCCATTAAAAGGTATTGTCCAGCTGTTTCAATTTCCCCAGTATCACAAGGGCATATTTACTTAATTCAATAGGGACCCAAAGCAGCTTACATCATTCTTCTTTGCTCCATTTTATCCTCACAACAACCCTGTAAAGGTAGGTTAGGTTGAATGTGTGTGACTAGGCGATAGCAGAGTGGAGATTCAAACCTTACTTTCCCAGATTCTAGTCTGACACTCTAACAACTCCCACAGAATGCTTTCCTAACCATTCTCATCTGGGCATGAAGTTTTTGTCTACTTCTTCAGGCCTTACAGCAGAAAAGATGGATTTTAAAAATGTTTAGTATTACCAGTCAGACTTCAATTTTGCCACATTAATAAAGGCACCAAGGCATGAAGTCTAATCTTGCTTTTATGGCTTTCTTATCTCTGTATTTTACCTTATAATACAGTTTCTTAGTTTTTACTTTTATTCATCTCCATCATTTCCTTATAATAATGGGCTTCTAGAGTATTTATTAATCCTTTGCAATCAAGAATAATGTGATTCAGTTTCCCACACATTGCATAATGATGTTGCATCCTGTCTTGTGCAATGCTGTTCTTACAAAGGTATCTCCAAGCATCAGGACATATGTGTCACAAAATTGAAGAAAGTAGATGAGTGGTGCCAGGTTGGCCTTCTGCCATCTTCGGCTGATTAGGCAGTTGGTTCCCTTCCTCGACCGCAATGACCTGGCAACAGTGATCTATGCGGTGGTCACCTCGAGATTAGACTACTGTAATGCTCTCTACATGGGGCTGCCCTTGTCACAAATTCGGAAGCTGCAGCTAGTGCAGAATGCTGCGGTCAGGCTTCTGATGGGCCTCCCCAGAAGACATTGCACTGGCTGCCAATAGCATACCGAATTCGCTTCAAGGTGCTGGTTCTTACCTTTAAAGCCCTATATGGCCAGGGTCCAACATACCTGAGGGACCATCTTTCCCCATACATACCGCAGAGAGCACCACGGTTGGGGTCTCAAAATCGACTGACCCTCCTGGGTCCCAAGGAGGTCAGGCTTGCTCCTACCAGGGCCAGGGCCTTTTCAGTGGCGGTTTCATACTAGTGGAATGAGCTCCCGGAAGACATCAGGGCCCTGCAGGATCTTTTACAGTTCTGCAGGGCTTGCAAAATGGAGCTCTTCCACCAAGCTTTCAATTAAGGAGCCGCCACCACTATTACCACCAAGAATCTTAATTACAGAGCCCTGGCATTTGGCTTTGACATCTAGCCTGTGCCGCCACTCATATTAGGAAGAGCACTGAGCAGGATAATTGTTAGACCTTTCCATGTACTCTCACAGTACGCCATCTTAAGCAATTAATTAAACATCGCCAGCACTTTATGAATTATTTATAATTGAGCTGTTTTAGATGATTTTATGTGGATTTTAATTGTTATTTATGTATTAACCAGTGTAAGCCGCTGTGAGCCTGCTTTGCGGGGAGGATGGGGTAAAAATTAAATGAATGAATGAATGAATGAATGAATGACTAAATAACGTGGTCTTTGCATCAGCACTCAAAAGATTTTGAATCCATTTTTAGAACTCATCCCTTTATGGTTCTCTGTTTCAGACATCCTTCATAAAATGGGGGTAAGACTAGTATCTCAAATGTGTTGTGCACCCCTTTGAAACCCCATGCCAGTGCCAAAAAGAGATGTGCAGATTGTAGGGAACTGTAGACTTCTCGATCTAACCAGTTTGGTGATACCAGTGTTAACAAAATATTATGACACCAAAGGCCACTGTGTTAAAGAAGGCCATCACCATTAAGGCCCACATCACATCTGATGTCTTTCCCCACAAAGCATCCAAGATTCTGGGCACGTTCAGAATGGCACAGCCCTACACAGTCCTACATAGCTACCTTAGTGTGGGGATATCTCAACAGAGGATGATGTACTCATTCCCCCCACCTCGATGTATAGATGATTGCTGCCAAAGGAAAATGATGTGTGACCGTGCTGCTCAGTAAATTTTTCTCATTGGGAATGCCAGTGAATAGGAGAGGACCTCTTTGGTAACAGATAGTGCCAGAATGCAAGCCAGTTCTGTATCTTATTTCCCTTTAACTCAGATTGACTTATCTGCTTAACCTGACATCTATTGTTCATAGAAAGTGAATTGAAATTGGTTCTGTGGATCAATGAAAAACTAATAATGGAAGGGGAAGCTTTGATCTTCCACTGTAAAGCAAGTGTGGCTGAAAATCCTCTGTCTGTGAAATGGTGGCATATCTTGAGGAACAAAAGCCCTCCAGTGCTCATAGCCAACATGGATCAAGATGGCATGTTAAAGATAGGAACTTCTTACTTGGAGCGCAGTGCTCGTGGTGACCTCAGATTAGAAAAGGTGGACTCTTCTACATTTACCTTGACGATCTACAACACTTCAGCTACAGATGATTCAGGGCTTTATCGTTGTGAAGTGACAGAGTGGTTCAAGGGCAGAAACTGGGAACATGCTCAGGAAATCTCAGCCAACGTTGAATCACTGGGTAAGTTAATTCTTCCCTTTTGTCTTGCATACTTTCTTGGCTAAGACATATCATGGCTGAATGTCTTACACTCCATTTTATTCCTTAGGTCTTGTCTCAAAATGTAGCTGCTCTGTTTTTGTCTGTTTACAAGGCTGTCTCACTCTCAACTATTGTTAACCACCCAACACCAGTCACAACTCAGACAATGTGTTTCAGAGGGTTATAAATCTTGGTGGTGGAATGTGCTACCAAAATGCTGCTGATTTCTGTTGACGTGGTAGGGCTTTCAAGGCAAGAGGTCGTTTGCCATTTCTGGCCTCTGTATAGCAACCCTGGATTTCCTTCGTGGTCTCCCCTCCAACTGACAACCAGGGCCAACCGTGCTTAGCTTCCAAGATCTCACAAGATCACACTAGCCTGGCCCATCCTGGTCAGGGCTACACACCTTCCCTGTATGGAATTGTTGTTCTCTTGAATGTGCTGCTCCAGTTCACCTGAGTTATTTTGTGGTTAATTTGAGACAATGCTGTTCTGATTATGACTCAGAAACAATCCTGCTCAGCAAGAGCAAAGTTCAAGGGAATGGAAGTGATTCAGTGAAGATTACTATGATCTTGTCACCTCTTCCCCCCAACTCAGTAGGGGGACCTGTGCTATTAGATGAGTAGTAGCTCAGGATACTCCCTCTAAGCTGTGGAGTCTTGTGAGCAAAAATTCTACTTTGTGAGCTACTGGCATTAAAGTTGTGAGTGAGCTATTTGGCTACTGCATAAATCAGTTTGCTCTGGTGCCATCCTTCCTGAGCTAAGACAACAATGTGTGAGCTGGAGGCTAAAAAAACTGTGAGCTAGCTCACACTAACTCAGCTTAGAGGGAACACTGCTAAGTAGAAACCGGTAGTAGGAAACTGAGTATAGCTCAAATTAAGAATAGGAACCAGTGTAATGTAATAGTTTAAAGGTCTAGGGCCAGAAAGATCCAGGTTCAAATATCCACTTAGCCATGCGGCTCACTGGGTGATCTTGGGCCAGCCACTCACTTGGCCCAGCCACTTTGTGCAAGCTCTTGTGAATGTAAGGTGGGGAAAGAGAGGACTTTGTTCAGTACTTGGCAGAAGGGCAGGATAAAAAAAATTAACTAACAAAATAAATGTGATGATGACAAACCATGGAAAAATTCAGTTAGCCTAGGGCTCGTGTTGAAAAGAAAGACAGAAAAATCCATGGGAACATAAGCTTGGTGGCAGTTTTTAAGAGCTACTGACAAGGACTATCTGATGTTAACAGCACAAATTACTTTTCTCCTCAATACCAGGGATGAATCTGAAAGCTGTACTGATCAGCAGAATTGCAAATGTAATGCTGCATGAAGATTTTGAACTGTACTGTCGGGTGTCAGTTAACCACAGCACCAACAGAGTGCCAATTTCTGTCATTTGGCAATTCCATCCTAGTTCAGGCCTGTCTGGCTACCAGAAAGTGGTGAAAATCACAGCAGAAGGCATCATCGAATGGGGATCAGCCCTTCTGCACTTCCAGAAGAAAACCAAGATTTCCAAATCCTCCTCTTCATCCCAGCTTCTAATCCACGGTGCTACATGGCAAGATGCAGGGATATATAAGTGTGAAGTTGAAGTCTGGAAAAATTCTCAGCAAGCAAGCAATTCGGGTATAGCCGCAGCTGCAGTGGTATCCTCTAATCCTGTTGAAATAAAAGTCACGCAACCAGGTAAGTGTGTGCAGCCAGTAACTTGGTTGACTCTTTCTTCTGCCAAAGGATATGCCTCTGGCTTCAGATAAATCCTCTCTCACACCTCCCTGAATTGTTTTTTGATCACTGATAGGATGGCTGTAGCATCCCAAGTTAACAGGTAAGCTTTCTCTACCATCTCCAAAATCTGATCCGTATTCGAAATGCTGTGCTCAAAATTATTGTATTCATTTACAGTTAAACCACCTAATCCCAAATTGTACTAGATGGAATGATGGGCTGAGACATGGAAGATTTTTGTTCAACCCCCTGTTTGTTCATGAAGTTTACTGTGAGTCTTCGGGTTAGTCACAGCACCTTTATTTAATTTGTCCTTCAGAGCTCTGGTGAAATCATAGATGTATGCCATGGAAACAGGTTGTACAATCTAAATAAATTTAAAAAATCCACGCAACAGCAACAAAAAAGATGTGTTAAATGAGCAAACACGATGGCACAAAAATCAAATTCCATCAGCTTCATGTTAAGCACTAAGCCCCCAACCCAAACAAGAAAAGAGTCTGACTATGACTGTGACCACTCCATTAACTGAGATTAGTTATGTTACCTCAAAGACCTGAAAGCATGCTTTAAAGCTGGTTTGTTAACCACAGTGTAGTCTTAACTATGGCTCTATGTGATGTATGAATCAAGACTTATTCCTGGCTTGCTCCTGGTTCCTCTCATGTGCAGTGCAAACCAGGATACCAGCTGGGTCTCTGGGGTGAGATGATAGAAATAGAAAAGATGATGAAACCAGCATTTGTTGAGGCAAACCAGGATTTCAATCCAGAATCTACAAACGCAGCTGTGATTATACCTTCCATAGTGAAAACAGACCATGGTTTTGTGTTATACATGCGAACCAAGAGGCACAGTCAAGAACAGATTATCCACAGTTTGAGGAAAAGATCAATTCAAGACAAATAATTCCAGTTCCATCTCGTCAAGATTGTGATCCTAAAATTCTGGTGGCTGCTCTCACATCTGTCATGCTTTTGAAGAGCAATTTACGTGAATAAAGATAACTTATTCTCACAGTATCTGCTATCTAAACTTTTCGTGGCAAACAATCCGTGTTCTTGTGACAGTCCCTTCTGTGTTAAATCCCTTGCATTTTTTAGAGTGAAGCACATATAACATAACAGTGAAACCAACTGTAACCTTATGAATGTTTATGCAACTGCAAAACCCATGGTGTCCCATGACTGTCATGAAAATACTGAGGTGCCAAAACATGCAAGCCCTCAGAAATCTAGGGCACAAGAGTAGAAGGTAGAAATGCAAAAGGAACTGAGCTGCTTCGGCGGGAGGACGGGGTAGAAATTTAATAAATAAATAAGCTCAATTGAGAAGAGTTTTGCACATGCATAAAAATGTTTATCTTAGAAACCGTGATGGAACATAAGGGGGAAAGCTCAGGCAGTATAGAATTATTTATTTTAAAAGTATTTATACCTCACCCTGTCATCCAGTGCAGGTTCCCTAGGCCAGCTATTAAAAAAAAAAAAAACTAGAAAGATTGCTTTGTGAGATTCTTTGGCTGAGGATTTTGATATTAAATCTCTTGCTGAAGGATCTGAAGTGATGAATAGATAGAAGTGATGCAGTTGGGGAAAACAGGATAGAAACTGAGTATACAACATTGCATCAGAAAATCAGGAAATACCTTGACACCAAAATATCTGTTGGGTAAAACAACAGTTTTAGCAGCAGAGCACAGCATATTACATCCCAGTGATCCCCCTCCCCCAACATTCTGCATGGAGGATAGAGGAATTGTAAAGATGCCAGACTCCAGGTGGGACCTGAGGATCCCCCAGAATTACACCTCATCTCCAGATTACAGAGATCAGTTCCCCTGGAGGAAATGGATGCTTTGGAGGGTGGACTCTGTGGCATTGTATCACACTGAGGTCCCTGTCCTCCCCAGGCTCCATCCCCAAATCTCCAGGAGTTTCCCACCCTGGGTCTGACAACCCTACCACCCAATCCCCCACTGGTGGCCACGGGGTCCTGGCAACCCTAAGGAATCGTCGAGTCACTATGGGCTAACTAATCCAGGTGTGGGACAGGATTGTCATCATGGCAGTTACTGGAGGGGCTTTTATTGGCGCTTCCCCTTTTTCCATATTACCCACAAGCTCCCTAGCTATTGCTCACTGCGGAAGGGGTCAAAGACAGGCACCCTCTTTTGCCCGTCTCCTGTAGCTAAACAGTGTATATGTGTGTGTGTGGGGGAGCTGTACAGTGCTTCAAATGTTGAAGGGTTATAATACCAATATAAACAAAAGCAAGCTGGGGCTCTTTAAGATATAAGTGTAGTTAAGCCCTCAGAAATCAACAGCAAACGATAAATATACTAAAAAAGATTATTCTCACCCCAACCTTCCCTGAAAGTCAGCTTGCAAAATAGACACTAGCCTAACACTATAGAGGAAGCTGACATAACTGCACTTCCTCTGACAAGGGTTGTGGAGAGGAGGAAGGGCTTTGGGCATTTTTGAAATGATTCATACTGGGAGATTTTGCAGCCCATCATTGGTAGACAGTGGTTTTTGCAAAACCCAACGCTGGCTGGCTGTGCATACCTTTTGCAGCTGCTGGGTTCTTTTGGATGCTTCAGATGCTGCCGCAGAGAGAACCAAGTGCACTGTCAGCAGTCAGGGTTCAAAGGAAAAGAGGAAGCTTGGCAATTGTGTTCAGTTAATTAAACTGAAGTGGGTTCTGTTTTCTCCTTTCGGGTCATCCCTCCTTATCAAGGCTGTCTTGGGCGACAGAAAACTTAAAAGCAACAGCTTTGGTTTCTTGAGCAAGACTGGCTTTAGGAAGACAGCAGCAGCTTGACTAATAGACAATTTCTGATGAAAAACTGTGCATGCTGTTATGGGGTCTAATGAAAATAATGGTGTCACTTTCCCAACTGGACACCACTGCAGCCTTTTCTCTAAGTCCCCTTGGTGTGTTTGCCAAACACCTGTTGGTAATGAAAGGAAGCACCTGCCTGTGCAACTCAGGCTGCATTTTGCAGCAACCACATCCTCAGACATTGGAAAACCACCTGTAACTCTGGCTACAAAGAAAACCCTAGAATCTCATTGTTGCTCAGGCCTTATGTGCCAACCCTGTAAAAACACACACACAAACCAGACATTTCTCATTTCCATTTCACTAGAAATGTTCAGAATCAAGTACTACCTATATACCTGACTACTTTTAACTTGGCAGTGAGATGTATTCTAAGCCTTTTGAGTTAGAATTCAGATGGTGAAATTAAACCAGAGTGGAAGAGAGAACGAGTATTAAAGTGAGGAGGAGGATGTGTGAGGAAGGGGGAAATAGGGAGGCACATGTAGAGACTGCAATCAGTTATCACAAACTGTTAAAAGTCTTGGCTCAAATCCCAGTTGTGACATCCTAAATGCTGGTGGTCTAACAAAGCAGGGTTTCTTGTTGGGCACCAAACCCAATGTGAGTTGGCTGTTGGTTTATTAACCACACTTTGTAAAAACCATACAGACTGGAAAATTCCTAGAATGTCACCGCAACTTCCAGGAAGCAGGCCCATAGGTACATTGGGGTATTTCACCCCCCCTTCCTAACAAGGCCCCCCAATATCTGTTAAGTCTGGTGCTTAACAAATAGTCAGAGAGTGATTTCAGCAAAAACTCAGGTTTATTCAGCTCGATGATCACTTCTCCAACACGGTACAACATTCGATAGCCCGAACAGCTTCTCCATTGCAGCTGCTCAGTATTTAAACATTCCGGGCTAATGTAGCCACACCTCCTATACAGATATCAACCTATCAGGTTGAGCGCATATAGTCCAATCACAAGCGTTCCCGCTTCCCGTCTGTTTGAATGTGATTGGTCGCATGAGTCTTGGCGCGAATCCCTGGCCAAGACGAAGCTTAACATAGCTTCCCTATGAGATGATTCCATGTTCATCTTAATGCATTCAGGGCAGCTTCTGAATACATTACAAATCCCTCCCCCCTAAGCAAATACAATCACAAACACTCGTAATCACTTAGGTAGGCAGGTGCACGGCGATATCTCTGAGACCTCCTGAGTGTAATCGGCTCAGGGCACAATTCCGTCAGTGGCACTTCACTCGACTCTGGGACCGCAGAGTCAGGAACACTTCCGTCCAAAATTCCTGGTTCGAGAGTAGGGGTCTGCCCTGCCTCTGGAACAGCAGTGATGCCCTCAGGCCCATCAGCACTCACCTCCGGTGGAGGTCGGGGAAGGTCCTCGGGGTCTGGGGACTCAGCTGGCAACGCGTTGGGACGGTCAGTTGCCCACCGTTGCCTCAACTGGTCTATGTGCCTACGCCACTTGCGACCATCTGCAAGCCGTACCACATACATACGTGACCCAATAACATCCATAATAGTGGCTGGTAGCCACGAGTGACCACTGGCATAATTCTTAGCAAACACATTTTTGCCCTTTTCGTATGTTCGTACCTTGGGGACATCGATTTGCTGTGTGGGCTTCAAGTCATTCAGATCCGGATGCAACCGGTCAAACAAGGTTGTCAAGCGACGGCCCATCAGCATTTCGGCAGGACTGCGGCCAGTTGCCGAACATGGGGTTACATGCTGTCTAAGCAGGAAAGATGCTAGCTTCACCCCCCAGTCCCCGTAAACTAGCTTGGCTAGTGCTTCTTTGGTCGTTCTGACCATTCGTTCCGCCTGGCCGTTTGAAGCCGGGTGGAACGGGGCGGAGGTTATCTGCCGGATTCCGTTATCCGACAGGAACCTTTGGAACTCCTCAGCGGTAAACTGAGTTCCATTGTCACTTACCAACACGTCCGGCAGCCCGTGGGTGGCAAATAGGCGCCGGAGCACGTTGATGACGGCCCCTGACGTGGTGGAGTGCATGTGCGCAACCTCCAACCACTTGGTATATGCATCTATGCATATCAGAAACATTTGGCCTTGAACGGGCCCCGCAAAATCGAGGTGGAGCCTC